AACCGAGGTCTTAGGGCTGATGGCACACATCTTTGCCTGCTGAGCCATTTTGCTGGCTTAAATTATGCTCAAAGAATGATTAATGCAGAATCATTTTTACCAGCCGTGAACAAAGGTATAAAGTATGCAAGTAACTTTGGAGTAAATAATTCTAAAATATTTATACAGCACAAAACATAGACTTTTGTTGTGCAGTTTAGGTAACAACACCCAAATTCTTTGAGTTCATGTTTGGTGAATTTTTTTGATTTGGGTAATTATAAAAAGAAAAAAGAGATTCAATTAATTCCACCAAATATTAACTCATATAAATGATGTGAAAAGTCTTCCGATGAAAAACTGTACTTATTTCAGTATGGTCAAATGTATTTGAATCTATATGAAGCCCTGAACCTTTAGGTCAAATTGACTTTTCCATAGAACTATAACATAGAACAAGGAACCAAAGTAATCTTTCAAACAAGTCATTACCCTGATGTTGAAATTTTTCCCCAGAATAGTGATGAGTCTTTCCCCCATTGCTGATTTCCCAGGAATTCTTTATCAGCTTCTGTAAATGATGGCAGTGAAACAATACAAAGGTCAACTATACTTAGACTTGTCAAAAGTTAATGATTCTGGGCCTGCCTTGCAAATTACACAACTCTATTTTCACATAGAAACTTCGTTCATTCTTGTTGCTGTTTCCACAGCTGAGAGGATTTGAAGCATTAAGGAAGGATTAGACAAGGTTATTAACCCATGGATGGTTCTATTTATTTATTTATTTGTCTAAATCTTTATTGCATTGTTATCTACTCTGTCATTACTAAAGTGTGTGACTGATTCTCTACACCCGTATCACCAGGCTTGCCGAATTTTCACAATGCACTTGGAGGAAACTCATCTTGGATTCAAACTCTGCTACTAATTTCAGAAAAGTACAGAACTCCCAATGTTAGAAAAGATTCACATGCACTACTTCCCAAAATCCTGTATATGTGAATGTGTATCATAAAATTTAATTACTGATTTTTAAAAAGAAATATATAAATTATTATAATGGTATAACAAAAATACTTTTAGTTGTGTTATACAAGGATATATTATAAACACTGTATTGTATTCTATTTGACAATCTGAAACTATGTATTTATGTGTGTTTTGTGTAAATTTACTTTAAGAAATCTAACAGTAAATTAACTGTAAAATATTTGCTTTTGTGCATAAAGGCTTTACAAGAAAGTGTAGTATGAGGATTACATTCCCAAGAGCCAGCCAAAGCATTAGGGATAGACTGCCATTGAATTAACTCCCACTGTTAGGAGTCCCATAAATAGATTAAGCTACATGGATACCACATATATGTGAGGGACTTAGGTCTGACCATTGTAGGCTCCCTGGTTGTGAGTTCAGACTCTGTGAGTTCCTATGAGTCATGTGGGTTGTTTTATGGATTTCCTTGTGATGTCCTTGTCCCTTGGGGCTACTGAAAGGCATCTTCCCTCTTCTCAGTAGGATTCTCTGAGCTATACCTAATGTTTGGTGTGGGTCTCTGTATCTGTTTTCATCAGTTACTGAATGAAGGCTCCCTGTTCACCACTGGGGTAGTCACCAATCTGATCACAAGAAATGGCCAGTTCAGGCTATGTATCCACTATTGCTAGGAGTCTTAGCTGGGATCATCTTTGTATATTTGTGTGAGTTAACCTTGCATTAAGTTTCTACATGAACCTAGAAATTCCCCTTCCAGTACTCTCCCTGTCCACTCACCCCCTACCTGATTCCTCAGATTCCCATCATGGGCCACTCACAGTCAAACTAGTAGATCTCTTCTGTTTACTCTTCTTAGGGAAGTCCATGAATTTCCCTTTGGGCCCTCTTTGTTACCTAGACTCTTTGGGGCTGTGGAATGTTTATCCTATACTTTACATCTAATATCCATCTATGAGTGAGTACATATCATGTGTGTCTTTAACTCAGTATTATTTTTTCTGTTTCCATCCATTTGCCTTCAAATTTACTCAGCCAAAGAATGGATAAAGAAAATGCAGTACATTTGCACAATGGAATATTTGTTAGCACTTGTTTACTTTTGGTCATTATATTTTTATCAAATAGAAAAAAAAAGAATGTATATACAATTTTGGGTCTTTAAAATGCCTTAGTGACTAATGATGCTTGTTTCCAAGTTAAGATCCTGAGTTCTTTCCCTTGGACCCATATGGTAGAAGGAGGAAATTCACTTTTCTAAGTTGTCTTCTGATCTCTACTGGTATACACACAAACACACACACACACACACAGAGAGAGAGAGAGAGAGAGAGAGAGAGAGAGAGAGAGAGAAAGAGAGAGAGAGACTGCAATAAATGAGATATAATATTATGAACTCTGTTATAGTTAATTATTCTGTACATAAATTTACTGATTATCATAATCTCATTTCTATGTTTCTATTTCATATAAGGATTGGAAACCATTGACAAAATTATACAGTGATTAATTAAACATTTTTATGTGCTAGGTATTTCATGAATAATTTGTATATTTAATTCTCATAGTAGATAATAATTAAGTTAATAGCACTGCATTTCTTTTTCAGATGAGTATAAAGTTGAAATAAATTAAAGAATTTATCCATGTTATCACAGAGCTCATACTAAAGGTTTGAATAGCATTGTTATGTTTTTGCTCCTCTCTATAGATTTTGAGGCTCTCCCTCCTGTAAGTTAGGGGAAATTTGTCCTCTACTTATATCTTCACCTGCAACATTCAATACAAGATTGATCATTTCAGTGTTTGTCAACCTTCCTAATGCTGTGACCCTTTATTTCAGTTCCTCATGTTGTAGTGACCACAAACCATCCTTGCTACTATATAAATGCAATGTAATGAATTTGAATATAAATATCAGTGTTTACTCATTACTTATATAACCCCTATGAAAGGGTCATTTGACCCTCAAACGGATCACTACCCAGAGGTTGTGGATCACTGATTAATTCTTAATAATAATAATTATTAAAGAAATCTTCAGAAAATTTATTTACATTAATTAATATAACACAATTTTACAATATAAATAATCATTGTTTTAGTGTCTTTATGATGTGTATGTGTGAATCTGCTCATGAGTGTGAGAGCAGAGTCCATTCTCAGTGTCAGCCTTGTTTCTCACAGTCCTTGAAAATAGTGTCTTCTTGTTCACTGCTGCATACACCAGACTAATAGCCCCTTAGCTTCTAAAAAAACTACAGCTTGTACCTCCCATTTTCCAGAAAGCAATTCCCAAGCAAAGTTGGAAATATGCATGTGCCACTGTGTCTGTTTCCCATGTGGTTCCAGGATCTCAGTTTAGGTCACCCAGCTCACACCTGGAGAGCCTAATTATCATTCTGGTACCTGTTTTTATTTATGAAACACAAATTAGAATTACAGTGCCTACTAGTTTCATATAAAATGTTTATTTAAAAATTTCATAGTACAGTCCTATTAAGTATTCATATTAATTTTATTCTACTAAATAGCTATAAATGGATCTAGTTTTGTGTATAATAAGCAAAGCATTAACTAGAAAAGGTTGATATAAGTTTTGTATTTTAAATTGTATTTTTTTAAAAAAGCTTAAGCAAGTAATAGACAATAGTAAGATTTTTATTATAATTAAATAAGTTGTAAAGAGAAGTAGATATCCAGTCACACAACAATATTGCTTGATTTGCAGACAGTACAAAGTTAAGATGATTAAAAATATGCAATTGTAGATATTACTAACCAAAAAAAAAACCTCTGCTTTGTAAAATTCTTCAGCTACCTTAAACTATGGACATAATTAAAGGTTCTAACCTATTTAACTGATTGAAACTTTCTAGCATTTTAATTAAAAGCGAATAGAATATTTTTATTATGAATGTGTGGTATTTGAGCACAGTCTCTTTATCAGAAAATCTATGTATGTCTCTCCTAAAGCCATTTCTGCTTGCAGATACACAATAACCACACTCATCAAATGTGATGAGAGTATTGTAGTTCTTCAGTTAATAATGACTGCACTGTATCTGTGAATTAATTGATAATTATCTATATTAAAATATATTTTCATCATCTAATAGCTCTCAAGTTCTTATAAAGCGTGTTGCAAGATTCAGAGTTTTAGGAAAAACAAGTATTGCTTAAATTCAGTATTAAATTTTGTCCCTACAGTAGTAAAGAACTTCTTCCTGTTTCCAGTGCAACAATTATGTTGGCCCTAAAAATGGTTTACTATAAAAATAACTGGCCAATTTTTCTATCATGCAAGCCTTTCCTACAACCATATGAACAATTGTTAAAATATAACCAATTTAAATACATACTTAATTTGAATCATTACCACATAATTGAAAAAATGACCACGGTTGCTCCAAATCTTCTCTTGTGTTGTCTTTATGCAAACTGCCCCCCCCCACATCACATCATCGACACATGCACATGCTGTGTTACTCAAGGAGACTGTTTCTGACATGGATCAGAAAATGAGCAGGAGGTTGATTCACAACCTGAGGTGCTTAGTGTCTGACATTTTTCTAAGCTTCATGTCTTGATGTTGCTTTTTTTATAAAAGAAAGAACTTAGAACAAGTAAATTTCAAAATAATTCTTAAGATAGTATGAGTCTTAAAAGGTTTTTAAAATTATAATATGTGTACTGTTACTTTAGAATTTGATAGGCTTGCACAATTTTCTGCAAAATTCTTCAAACTTATTCTAATCCTACCAGGATATCAAGGATGCACATTGCACACACACACACACACACACAAACACACCCCTAACAGTGAGAGCATAAACATTTAGAGTTGAAAAAAAAAAGTGAGAATGGAGTCTCTACAGGAACACCTTTTACGGTATCGGTATTTATTCATTTCGTAAAATATTAAGTAAACAGTTTCCTGAAGACTTTGGTGTTTACTGGCCTGGGTGATTCAATTTGGTATTGTAGTATTCACTACCAGTGACATATATGGGAATGAAAGTCAAACATTTGATTTAGCAAATAGTTTATTAAATCATTCGAGTATTTGTAAACTATGTCCATGACAGGCTAAATTCATCTGGTACTTGAACTAATTCACGTCCCAATTTATTTATTTTTATAGTTTTATTTATATAGCTTAGGTATAAATTACTACATGGTATAGATATGTTTAATTCATATAAATTTCATGTTTACAAAATTTCATTTACTATGATGTATATATATGTAAATTTATAAATCAAGTATTAAATTTTGTATACATTATATTTAAAGTTGTTTCTAGTACTACAATTGTTTGTATACATACATATATTCATATTTATGCTTACCATTGTTTAACAATATATTATGTGGCCTAGCCTGGCCTCAAACTCATTATAGTAGAGAATGACCGTGAAGTCCTGGTCCTCTTGGATCTACCACCCATCTGTTGAAATTGCGAGCATGTATTATCATTCTGAGAATTATTTAAGTATTTTTAAATAAAACAAATACATACATTACAAATACTCATTGGTCAGGAGAGTAAAGAAATACTTCCTTGTTTGTATTTCTTGAATATTTCATACACAATTAAATATTTTCAAATATTGATGGATTTATAGAGTATTATAGGAAACTGTCTTACACTTAATTAAGGTGTTCTCAATCTATAAAAATTCATATATTCATTACAACTATTAAATTCTGGCATTGCTCTTGATGTATCAAGAGGAAAATAAATTTAGCTGAAGTTTATTTTAATTAATGATTTAATTTATGAAACAAAACAGTAAGTAGTCACTTCCATAATAAAATGAATGTTAAATATTGGGAAGCTAAAAAAACTTAAGAGTATATGTTTTGTTTTAGAGTTTATCTCCATTAAATACTCCAGGTAACAGTTATATAAACAGTTAGATGTTAGCAAATTCTCATGTGAATTTGAGCTTTAACAATTTCTTTTTTAACAATTTATTTGCTATCTATATACTTATTAGAAGTTGTTGCCACATTTGCATCCTCTAAAGCTCTATATTCTCTTATCTATATAAATCAACGTCCTTAGATTATTATCAAGTTCTTCACATACCTTGTCCACTGTGCATTGATATGCATGTGTAAAGGGGAAGCTTTTTATTCTGGGAATTGAATCCAAGCTCTTTGTTTTAGCTCTAGTTATCTCTGGTAGATTCTATGTGTCAGTACTAGTACTAAAATGATTTTCCACACAAAGGGTCACCCTTACAGAAAACCTTCCATGTGAATTGGAAGTGGATAAATTGCAGGGGTGGGGTGACACGGGACTGTTGGCCACCTAGCAGTGTTCTAAGAGGTGGGCTGAGCAAGACAACTCTTAGGGTGACAGACCATAGATTGCATGCACATTTCTAATCCTAGTTCCATACAAAATACTTGGGATTTAATGATAACTAATACATTCTTCAGCATAATTCCTCACACAAGAAATAAGAAGGAGGAGTCTCCAATCAAGTTCCTAAGGTCAGTTGCATGATTTCACTGTTTCATGAAAATGACGCTTAGAGAATGTTGCCTAATGTTATTTAGCAATCATATCTCAATGTTTTCTTCAGAATTGTTTTGTTTGGATTAGTTTCCTGGGCGTTTTATTTTCTCCAGTGAAAACTTTTTTGAAGAATCTAAATTTATCACAAAATGCCAGAAATATAAATCATTATGCATTTGAAAAATAACAATTCTCAAGTCTTAAAATCGCTACCTATGAAGGACTGAATCATGTATTTTAGTTACTAATTTTGCAAACTGAAGAACATTAACATGAGAAATAGTGTTCAGAACAAAAGTTTAAACAGTGTCCCCAAATTATAAACATACAGTGAAGTTTGACTTGAAACCCATAAGCATATCCGGTCCCTCTCTCTAAGTAGTTCTAGCTGAATTGGCTTAGCCAGAAAATAAAGATCAGCAGTGTTCCTAATTTGTGCAAAGCATCTTAATGAAGAAATAGAAGTAAAGTTCAACTTCTTTTTTCTGCACTAAATTCTGAAGTTCTCTGACCATGGAAGCTGGTTCTTTATTCCAACCCCCATCCTGCCACACACACAAATGTAGTCATTTTACGCATGAAATTCAACCATCCTTTAAGTGTAAGGACAGGCATGCAGATGTGGACGAGGCAATGACACAGCCACTCCAGCAGCATTTCGGTGTGGTTACTCTGTTTCCCGTCTGTGTTTAGGATGGACAATTCAGGGGTCTGCTTCTTTCTGAGCAGCCACTGTGAAGTGAATAGGACATCTTCTGTAAGTTTTCTGAAAACCCCTCAGTACACTTTGGTTTCTACTATGCAAGGTTTTTGCTTATTTTGAGTAAAAAAAGAAACAAAAAGCAAAAATGTCAACCCTAATACTACACAGACCAACAAAGCAAACAAAAACAACAAAGGAAAAACAAAATAAAGATTGCTATAATGAAACTTTGAAACCTTAAATTTTCACTGAAGTTAAGGAACTATTTATTAACTATGACTATTTTAACATTAAAAGCATTGTCCATTGTGTCAACACACTTGTTTTATTAATCCTTTACATTTTAGTAATCCTCTTGTTAAATATGTCTTCCAAGATAGAGTTTTGTTAAGATGGCCTAACTCTCCCCAAACCCAGATAAAAGCAGATGGGTCAAATAGATTGTAATGGAATCAATTGGAGAATTTCTTTAAAAATACATGCTGTTTTGAAAATTCTTTTCCAGTTATCTACAATGGGGACTGGGAATATTCATTATTTAAGAGCATATGTAGGAAACAGTTTGGTAACTTTTGACTTAACAGAATTTTTTTGATGTATGTATTAAGTCCAGACTTCTCTAATTCAAAATAAATGAAACAAATTGCTGAATTATGATTTCAGATCTTTAAAAGATAGTTTAACTACACTTTGTTTTGTATGAACTTGGATTAGTAAAAGGTAATATGATTGGCTAAATGATGTGGTCCTGCACTTTACTTGAACTCTTGCTCATACGCTTGTAAATTTAAAAAAAAAAAAAATTTCATTCGTCATTAGAAAATGGCTCTTATGAAGTGATTCTATTTCCACAAATTCATGTCTTGAAGACCTTACTCTTAAGTTCAAGATTTGAATTTATCTAGAGACAAGGTGTTGACAAATTTCAGTGTAGTAACGAAGCAACTATTGAAGTCTCTACTTAAAGACAATGGTGTTCTATACAAGAAGAAAATTTAAGGAAGGTGCATACATGAGGGTTTTTTAAAGGAACACAAAAGTGAACAGAAGAGCCAAAGACATGCACTTAGCATAGGATCTGTCCTCACAACTCTAGAGGAAACCATATTGCATATTGTCACCACCTAGGGTTCACTCTAGCATCTGGATCTGTGGAACTTTAGATTTCTGTGGATTAACCTGAGTTTATGGAGTTTTGTCAAGCAGCCCTGGAAAGAATCATTGGACATCACCCAAACACATGGTCAGAAAAGATCTCAAATAGTTCTTTTACTAATGTTTTTAAAAAGTCAGGACTGAAGCTATGATCCAGTATTAACTGTATATACTGTTCTTACAAAGAACCCAGCTTCACCTACCAGCAACTTTATCAAATGGCTTGCAACTGCATGTAGGTCCAGATGCAGGAGGCCTGGCACTGTCCTGTTATGGCTTCTAGATATACTTCCACACATGTGAGCGGCAAACATTCCACACCTGAGTCTGCATCACCACCCACCAAGTATGGACCGTGACTCCATACCTTCCGCGAGCTGAGTAAGGTCCTAGGGGTTAAACACAAGATGCACAACACAGATAAAGAGTTCGAGTCATTCTCAGGGGAGAATGCCTGTTAATTCAACTTAATCTGGGGTTAAAATACCCTTTGGCCACAGTAAAGGAAACCCCTCCCAGCCAGAGAGGGATGGGGAAGCTGGTGCTGAGTGAGCTTCTACACAGGCAGGTGGGCGAGGGGTGTAAGGCAGTGTCAGACAGGTGAGAGGTACCTTGGCGCCTGGGCTCACCTGGGCAGGTTGAGAAATTACCATTTTAAAGTGATATAGAGCCCTAGGCTATTATACCAGGCTAGAGCAGAACAAGCAGAAGAATTTAGCAGGAAGCTTTAGCTGGTTGCCAAAACAGTCCTTGATTTACATTCCAGTGAGCAAGGGAAGGCCCAGGCCTTACACATGTGTGCCTTCCCACATGTGGAACACACAGACACACATAGAAACACACTTAGAAACACACATAGAAACACACAAACTAAAGTAAAAATTGAAAATAAATTTCTCCTCTTTTTTCACGTATATTACTATATTTTAATCTAGATCTTCCTCACTTTATATAATTACAACTTGAGATTTCTTAAATAGTTTGGCATAAAAGTGGTCCAATCAGATCTGATACAGTAATGAATTTGAGCATAATTGTCTATGTGCATTGTACTTTTACACATAGATGTAAATATTGTTTATATGACATTTTAATTTCACAAATCTTACAGTCTTTCATTGAGAAGCAGGGATATCTATCTATCTATCTATCTATCTATACAAACAAATAATGTATAGTGTCTTCTACACTTAAATTTTAAAAATGAATTTGTGAAGCTGTCATTGAACTAAATGTAATCAGTTTCTTCCTGTTTGAAGTAAACTGGCAAGAAGTTAATAAAAAAAAAATAAGGCCTAAAATTTAAGTAGATGAAGCAACAGTAGTAGAATTCTGGAAGTTATAAAGCAAGTATATGAGTGGCAAGTGATTCATCCAGAGGAGGATAAAATTTAGGTTTAGAGAGGAAATGTCATCACACACGGCTGCTGTTGGCAAAGAGAACTCTAAAGCCTTAGGAAATAAGGAATAAGGTGCTGCTTAAAGTAGGACTGTATGTAGGACTTATTCAAAGTTGGAAAAGGAGCAGATTCCCTGAATCTCTCCACATTTGCATTACTGGTTACCATCTGAACCCTGGGAGAAGAGGGATGTTATTTGGGAAATTTGTTCTGTGCATCCTCTACATTTTATGACGGAAAGTAAATTTAAGTGGCCGAGGTACATGCTGTGTCTCTGTGGACTGAGAACTAATTGTTTGCTGTATTTTATATGCTTCTTTAAATAAACATGTCTTGGGGAAGTAGTCTATCATAAAAAAATACTGAATATGTAGGTGTGTGTGTGTGTGTGTGTGTGTGTGTAGGTGTAGGTGTGTGTGTGTGTTCATGTGCATGTGTACATGTGTGCATGCGTTCCTGTGTGTGGGAACACATGCACACTTATCTAAACATAGGCATGCATTCATATGTTCACATGAGCATATAAAGTCAACCTCTAATGAAACCAAATAAAATTCCACCCATTAGTATTCTTTTCCTAACATTTGTCAGCTTTAAATTCTTCTCCTTGACAAATGGTGCATACAGAATGTGACCTATTCAAATTTACAAGTGGAAGTTCTGGATCCCACAATGTTCATAGTTTAATTGTATTTATGTACTGAAGTTTAAAAAAGGAAATAATGTTGAAAGGAAACTATTAGGATGGTTCCTAATCTAGTGGTTGCTTTTGATATTAAGAACCATTACTATAAGGCAGCCTTGTATGGAGCCAGCAAAGGTATGTAATCTGACTGGGAAATCTGTGCCTTTGACATCTTATTATGGACTATGTCCTTCTGAACATTAAAAAAAATTAATGAAAGTCCTCTTATATATAACTTGAGATGGTAATGACATCTCAACTAATTTTGAACTCTGGTCCAAAGATGTGGAGAAAAGGAGGTGACCATGAGGACAGAATAACAAACAGAAAATTATACTTTTTCTGACATGGAAAGTCAGTAGATAACCTTTGAAAAGGAAAAAGAAATAAAGAAATAAAAACTAAAACCATCAAATTTAAAAATAAGGAAGCCATAAGAAAATTATCAGTTTTAAAGTAAATTTTGTTTTATAATAAGATGTTATGGTAGCTTGTAGGAAAATGAACCCCAAAGAAAGTGGCACTATTAGGACATGTGGCTTTGTTGGAGTAGAAATGGCCTTTTTGGATGGAGGAAGTGTGTCATTCTTGGGGTGGCTTTTGAGGTATTATATTTGCTCAAGTCACACACAGTGTCTCAGACCACTTCCTGTTACTAGGACACAATCTTGACCTCTCAGCTACCACTCTAGCACCATGTTTGTCTTCATGTCTCCATGTCTCACCATGATGATAACAGACTAAACCTCTGAACTATAAGCTACCACCTTAATTAAATATTTTCCTTTATAAGAGTTGCCATAGGCATGGTGTCTCTTCACAGCAATAGAAACCCTAACTAAGACAAATGAAAAGAGGAAGCTGCTCCTTTATTTTCAGGACATTATAGAATTGGTATTCATTTCAAGTACATATGCATATACCTTTAGTGTTTTTAGTTAACTAGAATATGGAACTTGAGTTGCTTTGGCAAAATTGATCTTAAAATGAGCCCTTGATGTCCAAGAGATAAAGGGGGTCCTTTCATTCCAACTTTATGTAATCCTTGAGAGATCAAGAAGACAGCAGATAAATTTGCAGTGGAGTAACATACAGAGATTTATTTGATCATGTGCTTTTTACACTTTGTTTTAAATTGAGCTATACACATTTCCCCATTCCCCTTTCTTCCTTCCCTTGCCACTTCCACTGTCTCTCCCCAGTTCCCCATGTTCCCAGCTTATTCAAGAGATCCCCATATTTTTCTCCCTTCTAGGCAAATCCATGTTTTTCCCTCTTAGCATCTTTTTGTTGTGTAGGTTCTCTGGGGTCATAGATTATAGGTTGGTTATTCTTTGTTTTATGACTGAAAGCCACTTACAGGTTAGTATATATTATATTTTTCTTTATGTGTCTGGATTACCTCACTCAGTATTTTTTTTCTAGTTCTACCCAGTTACCTTCAAATTTCAATTTTTAATTTCTTTTTTACCAGTGAGAAGTACTTTATTATGTACATGTATCACTTTTTCTTTATCCATTTTCAGGTTCTGGCTATTATGAATACTGCTGTTATGAACATTGTTGGGCAAATACCCTTGTGGTATGATTGATCATCCCTTAGGTATATGCCTAAGAATAATATTGATGGATCTTGTAGTTAATCAATTTCTAATTTTCCAAGAAATCACCATACTGATTTTCAAAGTGGTTGTACATGTTTCACTAACACCATCATTGGGGGAGTATTCCCCTTATTCCACATCCTCTCTGGCGTGAGCTGTCATCAGTGTTTTTGATCTTGGTGATTCTGACAGGTGTAAGATGGTATCTCAGAATTGTTTTGATTTATATTTCTCTGATGACTAAGGAAGTTGAGCATTTCCTTAAGTGTCTTTTGACCAATTGAGGCTTTTAATAGTGTATTTCAAAACACAACTGTCATCCTCAAACTGATGAACTTTTTCTCTTTTATTCATGGCTACAATTCAAAATTGTAAGAGGAGCTAATAAAGGACTGGTAAGATAAGTAGCATGCCACATGTGATCTATGGTTGAAGTCCATGAAAAGACAGCATAGTGAGAAACCAGGAGGTTTGGTGAAGTAAGTTAACCCTACAGATGCCAATATGCATTGTTAATGGGGCTTCAGAAACAAGGAATATAAAAGGAAAATATTTGGGGTCCTGGTAATCAAATGAAACTTAAGGACAATAGAAACAAACAACTCACACAAACATTCACATATGCATGATTACAGTAAATCAACATCTGTGCTTCTGTGGCTTTTGCTTAGATTTGTGCAAATAGAGATTTAAGGGTATGTGTACAGCCTTTGACAGGAAGAACCTCTTGAATTTGTTATAAAGTGTATGGCTATTTCTCAAGAAAATTTGTTTAGACACACCAGTGAATTTTTATTCATCACTTTTTAAAACTATTTTTTCTATCCCAGGGAAGCAGGTGAAGGCAAATGCTCCAAACCAGAAAAGCTTATTAAAAAAAATAAACATTCATATAAATTTATTCTGATTATTTAACTATATTATATATTCATGTACTTAGAGTTAAAACTATATCTAGCTATATATATCTTGCCACAATTTTTGGATTAAATGTTGTCTGAAGTTATGATGTTATAGGTTACTTGTTAGGGAAAAATCTGGCATAGTCTTGGATACAAATGCTGCATTATGGTAGGTAGAGAGATGCTCAATCGTTCCTTCAGCCTGTAGTCCTCCTCCAGTACTTTGGGAAATAGCACTCAGGAGAGCAGAAATAATGCTCATTAATTTTTCAACAGTTAATAAACACATCTTTTATGTTTTATTAAAAACTAAACCTGATTCAATTATTTTTACAGGCCTAGATGGTAAATTTATAGGGGTTATATCTGCAAAAAAATATTTCAATTTTTTAAATAAATTGTTCTATCTGGGTATTAAGTACATGAAGAGAATGAAGCATGCCTTCATCAAGATTTTCTAATCTTGCTGTGATATAATCACTTCATTGGTAAGAATCTTTTATTTTATCTAGAGAATGACCATCTTTCTTCACCCTTTAACTTTTCTTGTGGGAATCACTATATTTTCCCCATGTTTCTAGCACAATGAGTTTCTTAGGAAGGCTCAGAATCCTGGGCATAATAATGCCTTTTTACCTAAGTTAATATTTTCTACTTGACTAAGAATGATAAGATCTCTATAATTTGATGTAAATTTACTAAGCTAGTTGAGCAGTGGGGAATAAACTAGCTGGCTCCCTCTTACAACAAATTGATGCACCAAGGTGGTGGACTAAATCCATGTAAAGCCTGAGAAGG